AATATAGACAAAAAGGACTATACATTTTACTCAGCAAGACATGGCTCATGGTCCAGGATTGATATGGCGTGGATGTCAATCACCTCGGTTCCAGACATAGTTGAGGTGGAAATTTTACCCAACACTTTTGCTGATCATAGTCCCATGATGGTAACGTTAAAGGATAGACAAAGAAAGACAAGATGGAGAATGAACAAGAATCTAACAAAAAACAAAGAATTTGATAAGAAAATTAAAGAAGATATTATAAATTTCTTTAAACAAAATATACAGCCGGAAACACCAATAGAAATAGTCTGGGATACATTCAAAGCGTATTTAAGAGGATGCTTTATAAACCAAGAGGCCTGGAGAAGGAAACAAAGAAGGAAAGATTATGAGAAAACACAAAACCTAATACTGAAAGAGGAAGAAAGACTTAAAAAGATACCAATAGGCAAGGGAGAAAGCCATACCAAACTAAAGCTACTACAGCATCATATGAACTTAATATTAAATCAAGAATTGGCTACGAGTATAGAATACGCTAAACAATACTATTTCGAGAACGCAAATAAGCCAACAAGATGGTTGGCATATAAAATTAAGAAGCAGGAAGAAAGAAAGGTGATAAAATCTCTCAAAAACAAAGACGGAGAAGAAATGTATGGAATAGAAGAAATAAAAAAGAGAATAGAAGAATTCTACAGGACACTTTATCAACAAGATAAGCAAAATACTGAGGCAGTATGGAAATATATTAAAGAGACAAATAAAAGGAGATTTAATGAAGATCAAATAAAGATATTAAATGATCCCATTTCTATCTGCGAAATTACAGAGGCAATTAAAAGACAGAAGACAAATAAATCGCCAGGACCGGATGGGATTCCGGCAGAGATATATCAGAGATATGAAGAACAGGTTATACTGGTACTGAAAGATCTACTACAAAACATAATTATTTCTGGTAAAATACCAGAAACTTGGAATCAAGCCATAATAACACTGATACATAAAGCAGATACAGATGGGACAGAAATCCAAAACTATAGACCAATATCTCTATTGAACACCGACTATAAGATCTTCGCATCTATATTAGCAGCAAGAATGAAGAAAGTACTAGCACAAGTAATACACAAAGACCAAGCCGGATTTCTACCGAAAAGGCACTTAAAGAATAATATCAGAACAATTATAAACGTTTTGGAGTACTATGAGATGAACTCGGATAAGGAAATGGCACTAGTATTCCTAGACGCTGAAAAGGCCTTTGATAACGTGAGTTGGGAATTTATGATCCAAAAATTAGAAGCCTGGAAGTGTGGCTTAAACTTTCTAATGATGATTAAGGCTATATACAGTAAACAAATAGCAAAGGTACAAGTAAACAATGACATGACGCAAGACATCGAAATTCAAAAGGGAACTAGACAGGGTTGCCCGCTGTCCCCTTTACTTTTTATCTTTGCTCTAGAGACATTAACAGATCAAGTAAGAAGTAACAAACAAATTAAAGGACTTAAGATAAAAGGAGAAGAATTTAAACTGCAAGCATATGCTGACGATTTGGTGTTTATACTAGAAGACCCAATACCCTCAATAACAAAACTGACCCAAGTAATACAGGATTACGGACAAGCTGCGGGACTGAAAATAAATTTTTAAAAAACTAAAATATTGACAAAAAATTGTGTTAAATCACAAAAAGATAATATTCAAGTACTATCGGGAATGGAAATAACCAAAAAGATTAAATATTTAGGAATCTAAGAGTGTTATATATGCTCTATCTCTCTTTATTGTTTAAGAAGAAATTTATCCCTGCTAGTTTGATGAGAAAAATTCTTTAGTTGAAGCTATTTTCTTTCCTTTTTGGAAGAAAGATCACAGCATATTAGAAACTGCCTCTGTGTCAGTCTTGCCAAAAATTCTTCTGACCGTATTTTAAAATATAAGCTTAGAACAGAGCTGTTAAAAAATAAGAATAAGCCACTTATGTTTGGTTGTAATTCTTAACCAGACCTCTTACCCACTGAAAATTATTCCAGTGAAACCTTTTCATATAAAAGATGCTGTTAAAATGTCACTCTTTCTAAAGCTGTTTCCCCAATCAAATACTTCTGTTTTTGAAAAACTAATCTTTCTTAGCAAGTGTTGTTTGAGAAAGAGCTTGCTTATAGGTTTCTGCAACTGGAAACTAAGGGACAAAGAAAAGTGCAGTAAAATTCCGAAATATGACTTTAAACTTCACAGAAGTACAAGAACTTTTGTCCATTAATGGAAACCGTCACTGGTATCTTAAAATGTAACTACTGAATTGGATCCGTTTCTCTTCTTCCAAACTTAATGCGACTTTTTTCTTTTGGGAGGCTGGTGTGGTAGAAGGAAGAACCACTTACCCTGTTGCATGCAGTCATTGTGTAATGTTTGAAATACTCATATGTTTCATTTTTGCAGCTGTGAAGGGATTAGAAGCTTTAGTTGCCTGAAGTAACCTTCAGATTAGTAGTTAAGCTTAGTATTTTTGTGGAAGATGACCCTAAATTGCACTTGCTTCCTTAAAGCTGGCATAATTCTACTTATTAAGTCACCATTCTCATGGAGATTCTAGGCAGATGGTGTGAGCTTCCGTGGTAGAGTGTGAGCTTTCATGGGTCACTGCTCACTTCTTCCGATACCTGTATCTGAAAAAGTGAGCAGTGACTCACAAAAGCTCATACCCTGCCACAAATTTTGTTAGTCTTTAAGGTGCTACTGAACTCTCACTCTTTTCTGCTGCTACAGACAGACTAACACAGCTATCCAACATGATCTATCTCCATGGCAGATAAGGCAATGCAGTCAAATAGCATCACCGATCCAACAAACAATGCAATAGAATTAGAATCAAAAATTTAGTAACACTAAAAAGTATCAGACATGATATGTTATAATAATAAATAAATAAAAAGTATCAGACATGATATGTTATAAACAGTGCAAAACATGGATTTCAGAAATAGAAAACAGCGTCATGGACTTCAAACCTATTCCCTTCATAAAAGCACTTTCTATTTCATTGTACTACAGCCTTATTCCCTTTATAGAAATACCTTCCTGGACAATTCCATTTTACACAGTTTGCGGAATAATAGAAGTGTGGGGGCCTTTCTTAATGCAGTGATGTTAGAAACCCTTAAAATTCATAGTTATTTGAATGGATGGCCTTTTGAAATCAGTGGGGGCTGCTACCAGTAAGCATGTTTAGTTAATAAGATTACGTTTGACCAAATATTATTGAAGTTGAGCCCTTATTTGCTGACTATGGCCTCAGCTCTGCTTATTTCCCAAATTGCCCATCCAGTGATTCTCATTATAAATGCTTAAGAATTATTTTTGTAAAAAGAGGGAAAGATGGATGACTGGTCTTTGTACCTGCCAGTCACGAATATTTGTATTTTTCTTTAGAACATCAGATATTCAGAATGGGTCAAAATCTTTGCTGTATTGGTTTTTAGTGTTTTGACTGATTCTCCTTTGCTGGCTAGGCAGCCCATCATCTTCACATGGCAGTAGTTGCTAATTTCCTTGGTTAGTTCTTTTCCACACTAATTTCGGTGTGATGTGCCCATTGTATCCTATTCAGCTGTGTACCCAAATTACGCTAATTATGTTTGGCAAGAGGGTTCCCAGCGCATCCGGTTTCTGTACCTCTTAGCAGTTTTCTAGCACGTTGCAGAAGATGTTCCAGTCTGCATATTAGTTGCGAGTAATGGAAGAACTTAGGTTTATGTTATGATTTTTGAACGACTGGCTTTTTTGAAGAATGCCTGTAGTATGTTTTTCCAGTTTCACAATCAAAACCGTAATTGACATTGCCCCCCAAAGAAAGAAAGAAAAATTAGTCTGCTTAGGCACCAAACATACAAACTGTTTTTAGTTAGTAATAATGTCTGGACGCATCATTGGCAAAAAATTAACTTTGTGGTGACTCCATCACGTTCTTTTCCCACTTGAATGTTGATTGGATTGTCTGTGTACTGCTTGTACTGTTTGGCAAGTGCTGCATTAAACTGTTCAAAATGTTTCTTCTAAAGCAGGCGGTGCAGTCGTACTGCTTGGTGCCACACTGTTGGGCACCATATTGTAACAGAGATGAGGGCAAAGCAGTGGTGATAGAGTCAGGGCAGATGGGAGGAAGCATAGGTGGTTCACACTTGCTCTGGAGTCACTGCAGAGTTTCTGAGATGCAGGGATCATTTCCTGCAGGAGCACACAGGAGCGGAGCTCTGGCAGTAAAGAGCCCAGGGGGCGGGCACATGCAACAAGCCCCACCCCCTGCTCCCAGCAGCCCTCAGTCAGAGCAAGAAGCAACCAGGTAAGTTGCAGAGCTCCCCCCGCCCCCCCGGTCCAAAACAGTCCAGTGGCACTGTTAAGTCCAAGTTTTATTCAGGTACAAGCTCTCCCTCCTCTGCGAGGACAGATCTGCACATTCCTCCCCCCCCCAATAGCTAGCAATCCAAAAGAGTCCAGTGGAGCCTGAGTGGCGGGTGTTGCCTTCTGACACACTTCCGGTGATGTCAGGGGGTTTGGCATGCTAATGAGTTATGCTAATGAGCTCCTGCACCTCTTTTTCTACGAAATGACCCCTGCTGAGAAGTATGGTCCACCTGTGCATCAGGAGAACATACACAATATGCACATGTTACCCACATATATATATTCCTGCATGTGGGACCCAGAGGCAGTGACAAAGGAAGCATGAGTTGCTCATTATCTAGTGCAGTGTTGATGAAAGATCACATCAGCTCACAGTGTCAGGAAAAACTCAATTATTTCTTCATCTATCTCAGTTACCACTGGATTTCCCAGCAATCGTGGCCTTGAGCAGCTAGGATTGTTTCTGTCGAGAATTCTAATACAGGCTGAATCTTAATTGGGGTGGCTTTTTAAAAAAATTAAAAGCAACACACAACCCAACTACAGCATGTTAAAATAATTGTTTTCCCTGTTACCAACGTTTGTCTTTTTCATAGGACATTGTGCCAGTGGATGCCTCGTATGAGGTTAAAGAACTGTATGTTCCTGAAAACAAGCTTAAATTGGCCAAAACGGATGCTGAAACTTTGCCAGCCCTGGAAATAAATAAGGTAATACTGACTTGCATATTAGTCCACAATAGCCTGCAGGGGCTTATGTTGCGTCACTGATAGGACGAGAGCAGGGGTCCCCAGCCTTTTGCAGTCTGAGAGGACATTTGGAATTCTGGCACAGTATGCCGGGTGCAGCCACAAAATGGCCACCGCAGGAGGCAGAGTCAGCCACAGAATGGCTGCTGCGGCTTCCCAGTTACGCAGTGGAGAGGGTGCAGTGGTGCCTAGAAGTCCTACATTGGGGACCCCTGGATTAGAAGAAAAAGATGACGGGTCATCAGATTTGTAGGTGCTTTTGCCTGCCATGACTGAGTGAGCAGCAATTTACTGGTGTCAGGTACCAAAGCAGTTGGTTAATGCTTGCATGGCTCCTTTTCTAAGGATAAAGAACGACACACAGTTCTTCTACTTTCCCATCCTAAGGGCATGGTTAGGGATGGACACAAACCTAAAAATTCCGATTTGGTTTGAGGCTCAGGGCAGCCCCCAAACCGAAGCCTGCACTAAATTGAGCCAAAACTGCCCTGAACCGGCCCGTTCAGAGCCACGGCCAGGAGAAAAGGGGGGGTTGCCCACCTCGAAGTGGGGGGAGCGAAACTAGCAGGTTTATAGCCTGCAGCCACTTAAATCTAAAAGCTGATGGGCAGACCCACACCATTGTTAGGTTTAAATGGCTCACAGCCCTTTTAGCCTAACAGTGGGGTGGGTGCACCTGTCAGCTATTAGTCTGAAATGGCTGGCAGCTGTTTCACCAGTCCATCTTGCTTCCCTCTGCTTGGGGGCGGGGCGAAACTGACGATTGAAATTGCTCACAGCCATTTTGGCCTAACAGTGGGGCAGGTACGCCCATCAGCTGTTAGGTATAAATGGCTGGCAGCCATTTCACCAGTCTGTTTCACTTTCCCTTGCTTGGAAGTGACGGGGTGTGTGTGTGGCAAAACCGAACGGTGAAATGGCTTGCAGCCATTTAATCTAACAGCAGGGCGGGTGCACCCATCAATTGTTAGGCTGAAATGGCTGGCAGCCATTTCACTGGTCTGTTTTGCTTCCCCCCTTCAAAGCAGGAGGAAGTGAAACTGACCAGTGAAATGGATGCAGACCTGGTCTGATCACCTGTCAGGTTTAATGACCTGAAGAGCTGAACCGAAAAAAAGTGCTGAATTTGGCTCGTGAACCATTGTGCCCATCCCTAAGCATGATTTCATTTCTTAAGTGCCAGTTGCTTTCAGGAGATTTGCCTTTCTAGTGATCAAGGAATTATATCACTGCTGACATTGTGGCTTTCTATAGTATCTCCACTGCACTTGGGTAGTTGGTATTTTGATTTTATCCTGTTTGGGTTTCATGCTTAGCACCTTCCTGCAGTCTCCTTTTTTCATATTGGTTAGCCATTAGTTCTTGCTTTTTAACTAATTCACACCTTTTAGGGCCTTTGCCTCCACCTTACTTAAATAACATTTTCTTTTTTCTAGTCCTGTACTTGATGGTAAGGTGGTGGCACTTCAATACCCTTGCCAGTTACTTACATCCATATATGTGTGCCTCTCTCTCTTTTTTGTTCATGTTAGGCCTACCTCCAGTAAAAGATTCTGAAGAAGTTAGCTCACCTTTTCTTACAAACTCAAAGATGAACATAGAATTTAAGTTAAATAGATGCCATAAGTATTGCCCTCTTTGGATGTTTTGAGGTTGTCAAGTGCTCTTTAATTCTCCAATTGTCTTAATTTTTCCCTTTTATGTAATTTCCTTTCTATAATTTGTCCATTGCCTTGCTCAGTTAAAGCCACTGATTGTAAATTGCTGGGTTTCTTTCATACACCTTTCTAAAGATTTGTAAGTGAAAGATTTGAGAAGACTTGTTCATCAGTTGCTAAATGCTAAGCAAATGGATAACACAAAGTGTGGGAAGAAAAAAAAATCCACAGAGTTTAATAGTCTGTCTGCAAACCGAATGTTAAGCTTGATCCTATACTGAAGTTCATTGTCCCTGGAAAATGTGGCAAATGTTGCATGTTCATGTCCTTGATGGAGCTTTTAACCTATTCACAGAAGTGGCAATATGTGCTGTCAATTAGTTGTAGTTCACTGGTGTTTTCTGTTTAAAGAGAACATTATGGAGCTGGTTAATCAGTGGCTTTTAACACTGGGGAGTTGGCTAAGATACAGTACTTCTGCCAATGTATATTGATTTTGTAAATCTCCTTGGGCTGATTTTTTTAAAACATGTGAGTTGAGGACATGTGAGTGAGCTAGCAAATTTTGAAGAACAATAGTAAAATTGCTAAACTGAGAAGCAAGTTCCACTTAGGCTGTAAAATTTTGCTGCTGTCCCAGTGATCCCTGGCAAATACCAAGTTATTTATTGTTCTGAACTTGAGCTAGATTTTTGCTAGACATTGGAAGTAGGAAAGTTCTCCCAAGGTACAGCATTGGTTTGATAAAGTAAAGAAGATTTTTGTCTTAATTAGGCTTACTGCCTTACAAAAAAATATATAGATGTCAATCAAGTGGATGTGTTGTGGTATCCAACTGTGTGCCAATGGAGGATGGATGTGACGTGTCTTCCTGTCAGACTGGCTTTCTCTCTTTGGTACATGAGCTTGTTGTTCTTACCATTGCATTGGTTTTCATGGCTGTATAAACTGTAAATTTTCTGAGATATTTGGACTTATTATAATTTATAAATTTGTATTTAAACAATAAAATTTACAGTCCATGGGCAATGTTCCCTCTAAGCTGAGTTAGTGTGAGCTAGCTCACACTAACTCAGCTTAGAGGGAACACTGTCCATGGGTATTTTATAGTAAGCTCTAGATTGGTTTTCCTGGCATGCCGTTCCACATTTTCCTATCACTTTGTCCCTTACGTGCAGTGTACAGAGGGACATTGACAAGAAAACAATGGTGGCTTGCTACTACCTCAGGCTGTTCTTTAGGATATATCCTGGTATGAAATGGCAGCACCAGTCAATAGTTGCCTTTATCCAACCAAATAATTAAACACCCTTGAACTTTCTTTTTAAAGGGTGGCAATTTTTACCCATTTCCCCCTTCTTGCTGCAGCCTACTCAGCCCACTAAATTTTTGAACCTGAGGGTCAAGGGATTCTCACGAACAGCATAGTGGGGGGGGGACCTGCAGTGGGAGGACAGAAGCAGTGCAAATCACCACCCTCCCTTAGAAAAACAAATGCCCTTAAGTCTTCAGAATGTGGATGGGTGCAGGCCACTGCTATTACTATTATTAAAGTTATTATTGGTAATGATCATCGGTTCTTCCAAAGAGATCATGGTAGCATACATGGTGCTTGTCGCCTGACCAGCATGTCTACTCCAGCAACAATTCTGTGATGTTGATTACTCTGAGAGATGGTTCCAGGTGACCCCAGTAAGAGTGTAGTGGTTGAGCAGGGATTTGAACCTGGGTTTCCTCAGTCTTAAGCTCAAAATGCTACACTGCCTTAACTGTCAGTGTTGCATAAAAGCCACACTTGGGGAAAAATAGTAATCACTCTTGTTTTGGAAGATTTGCTCCCTTTTTATAGTGGCAACATAATTTAGTGAAAACTAGAGCTAATTGAACATTAAACATATATCTGTTTTCAGGTGGACATGCAGTGGGTGCAAGTTCTGGCAGAGGGCTGGGCAACGCCACTTAATGGCTTTATGAGAGAGAGAGAATATTTGCAGTGCCTTCATTTTGACTGTCTGCTTGATGGTAAGACACTTTAAATATAGTGGGCACCTAATTTTACTGGCCACTGGAATGTTAAAGAGCAGCTCTTCCTTTGGGCACAGTAAGCATGGCTGTGCCCTCAGCTCATGTTCTGACTTGAAAAAAACATGTTGTAGCCATGGCTAGAAAACAAAGAACTAGAAGTAGTGATGAACCCTGTCTAGTAGGCTCAGTAAGCATTGAAAAAAACATGTTGTAGCCTTGGCTAGAAAACAAAAAACTAGAAGTAGTGATGAACCCTGTCTAGTGCCAAATGGCAGAAAAATGCAACTTTCTAGGTTTGATATCTTTTCTGCCATTTTAAGAAGTTTCTACTTTTAGAAATGCTGTGGAAGGTTCTGAACTGACTTTTAAAATGATAAACTCTGCTTAGCTGTTGAATATCATATGGCACATTCATTGGCTGCTTCCCTGCACTGTGTTCTATGGTTATATCTAGCTCACTCCTTACCCCAGTGGGTGCATGCTAGTTATTCTTTTTTTTTTTTTTCTTGTCAGACACACTGGGTATACTCAGATGGAAGCATGTTAGCATCTTCCTTCTTTCTCATGTTCCAAACTGAGCCTTACATTCTGGTTGGAAACACTGGGGGCGCTAAGCCTGGTTTAAAATTAAACCCTGCCTCTACTCTCCCCCTTTTTGTTGTGGAAAAGAGGATTGCCGCTTTGGAATTGTTTCAGGCTCAATGCTCGTATTCCATCCCCCCCCCTTCTTTCTTTTTTAAAACGTTCCATTTCATTTCAAAGTTGCAGACCTGAAAATACATTTTGCATAGACTGGAATCAATCTCAAGCAGAGGAAACAATATCAAATATATTGAAAAACGAATGGCAGTTTTCCAGTATATTTTATATAATATTTCTCTTTGTGTTTCTGAGCATTAATACTGATATTTAGGAAGGACAGCTGGGATTGTTATATGGGTAGTCAAGCCAGTAACATTCTTTTAAGCACTTGAAAGTTTCTGGACTTACTTAGAAAGCTGCCATGAAGAGGAGTGTGAGCCAAGTGCCCACTTCTTTCACAAGGAAGTTGCCACCTAAATGAGTACCTGGATGTTACTTCCTTGCTGGCAGCTCAGCATTCTTTTTGAAGCTCACAGGGAGTCCAGCAAGTCACAGTTAACCTCTGGGAAGGAAGTAGAGCTGTAAAGAAACCAAGGCTGTGTCAGAAGGGTGGAGGCAGCATCCATAACACGTCTTTTCCATAAATGCCTAAAACCTTTGGATCACAGTGTGTCTCTTTTGAATGAAAATCATTCCAAGCGCTCTCAGTTCAAGTACTCTGTAAGCATCAAATCAAATTCAGCAAACCTTGAAATGTTAATGCCTGACATTTCTTTAGTGTGGAGGTGCTTGCTTTCACATGTTCCCCAATGTTGGTGTGAGCAATTTGCATACAGCACTGTTAGTTTTCCAGCTTTGGAGGCAAGGTAGTTCCTATGTGCTGCTACAAAAATGTGGCCCAAACAAGTGACACAATTTAAAAAGTGTTTATAGTTCTTTAAAATAGCTGCAAGTCCCTGATCCAGACTGGGTCTGCGCACGGTGGCTCCAGGAGCTCATCCCCCCCCCCCCCCGTGTCCCCCCGGTCGCCTTTTTCAAGTGCTGAAACAGCCATGGACGGGAATCACTTGTAGTTTGGCCCACAGGAAAGGATAGTCATGTTTGTGATGTTTGCCTAGGTGGCAATGGGGAAAAGTGCAAGTTGAAAGATCTGCCAAAATATATTTGTGTCCAAAGAAAGTGAAAGACAATGAAATGCAGAGAGCCTTATGGAAAGACTGTGCTCTAACATAGGGGGTTTAGAGCAGTATCCCCCCCCCCTTCAAGGCATCTGGAAGACTTAGGAGGAGATCAGTTGCTCCAGTACAACTGGTACCAATTTTGTTGTTTCCTTTTGCCCTACAGGGGGAGTTATTAATCTCTCAGTGCCTATAGTGTTGACAGCTACAAAAGAAGACAAAGAGAGACTAGATGGCTGCACAGCTTTTGCTCTCATGTATGAAGGTCGGCGTGTGGCTATTCTCCGAAATCCAGAATTTTACGAGCATCGCAAAGAAGAGCGTTGTGCCAGACAGTGGGGGACAACGTGCAAGGAACATCCCTACATCAAGGTAGTCTTTACAAGCTGATCTTATCTTAATACAACCCCCCCTTTTTAAAACCTTAATGACATTCCATGTTGGTGAAGAACCAATGAAAACCCTGATCCAGATTTCCTTGATAATTCCCTTTTGCAGATTTGTTTTATTGATTTGTGTTCACATAATGTTGTTGTTCAGGCTGCGGAACTTTGATCTCCATGACCGTGTGCGCATGGATGTGAAAGAGGAGGCTCAGGACAAGTCCCCGTAGCCTGCCAGTGAAGATCAGAGAGAAGTTTGTCCTCTCCTGTGGTTTATAAAAACAGCCTTGTGTGCAAGAGACCTAGAGGAGAACACAGCAAAATGAATTATTTAGCAGCGATGACAGGAAAACAGCTGGCCTTTCTGCCGTAGGGCTTGGCTTGGTCTGATCAGAGTATTTGTGTCCACTCTTCAGTTCATCCTCCTTTCATCCCAACAAACAGTTTTTAATGCTGCGTTGATGCAACTTCTTAATTGTCACTAAGAGCCTACGTATCAGGCTTCGGGTTCTAAAAATGTAGTTGAATTCTGGCTTCTGCTCCTGACATGTTCTGTCTGGTGAGATGTCAAGGGTTAGGGGGCAAAAGGGACTTTTGTTAGGGGTAAGTCAGGAAAGGCAGGACTAAGGAGCCATAGCACTGGCTACGTAGTCAGTAGGACACATGAAATGGCAATCTACTGTTGGCAGTTTCCAGCAGTGTGTGTGTGTGTGTGTATAGACTTTCCCCTTATATAGTAGCGTCTAGTCCATGAACGTATATGCTGCAATAAATTTCTGTGAAGGCTGGACTGTGTAAGATCCCCCTCCCCACCCCCAGCTTGACCTCAGGTGTTCTGTACCAAATCCCTGTTTTTCTGGATTTCTTTAGTTCTGAACTTGAAACAGAACCTGGGCCTGTTGGGGAAACCCATGTATCCCAGGAAGCTCATAGGTTACCCCAAATAGCATTCTCTTAGAGTAATCCTGATTGGGATATGCATGTTCAGTAATTTAGGAGAATCTATGTGTAACTGTTATTTCCAACACCGGATGGGGACCTAGACCCAACCTGTGTAGTCTGTAATGCATGGAGAGGCCCTAAGCGATTCAGTTTCCAAGTGTAATGTGCAAGGCAAGAACGTTTGAGATGTTCAAAGTAACTGGTGATTTTTCTTTTGTGTAGCTGAGCTAAAAGTCTTCTTTCTTGTATGTGTGCTAATGAAGTGGTTCTGTCTGTCTGTCTGCTCTCTATCTTCTCTCTATCTTTATTTATCTTCTTTCTATCTGTCATCTGTCTATCTGTCCACTGCTCATACAGCTATAGCCTTGAGCAGAAAATTAATAAAATAAAATAACGCCTTACTTGATATTCTTCTGCTGCTGCTGAATTGGTTCTTTCCTTTGACTTCCTAGATGGTCATGGAACAAGGCGACTGGCTTGTGGGTGGTGATCTGCAAGTGCTTGATCGAATTTACTGGAACGACGGCCTTGATCAGTACCGCCTCGCTGAACTCAAGCAGAAGTTCAAAGACATGAATGCTGGTGAGTTCTTGCTTTGGGACTGACTGCATGACACCTGCTGGTAGGCAAGAGAAGAATCCAGCTCTGTACTAACCAAAACCTCATCAATGTTGCCTCAAATCACTAAAGAGAAACCACCAGTGGAAACAGGTGATCATTTTCTATCAAAATGAAACTGCGATGGCTGCAGTCCTAGATAATGGTAATGTTCCATGGGGAAGAAGTATATATGGGAAGCCAGAGTGGTCGTTCACCCAATCAGGAAAGACATTTGTGTCTTTTGAAGGTGTGGTCAGCTGCAGTGAAAACTTGCGAAATACCTTTGGCTACAGGAGAGCTTTTGCCCTGCCCTGCTGCCACGGTGCAGGATACTGACCTGTCTTCTTTAAGCCAGCCTGGTCCATTAGCTATTGATGTTTTCTCTGTTTCACTGCCCGACAAGTCTTTTAGTACACGCACAGTTTCGTACGCCATGAATTCTCCAAAATTGGAACAAAACACATCAGCCTTCCAAGGAATTTTTACTGTGCTTAAAAATGTGTCCATTTCATCTGAAAAAAACAGTTTTGTTAGCTTCACAGCAGAGTAGAGAAAAGCCATTGATGTGTTATTTTATTTGTTTTCCGTTTTAATGTTTTCATGTTAAAACAATAAGTAACAGACCAAGCAGGCAACCGTCTGGCAGTGTGTGTATGTGTTTGTTCTGTGCCGTTCTAGCTGGGACAGCAAGAGCAGCCCTGCCACTTAGCGCTAATAGGTGTGGGGGAGGAAGTTCAAAGCAGAGGTGGAGAGGAAGCTGAAACTCTTTTTTGGAGTTAGTAGGCCTGCCATTTGCTTTAGCTTGTTGGATCAGCGAGGGCGAGTCTTGATGGATAGGCCAAGATCAAAGGGTGCACTTTGAGATCAAAGGGGTGCACTTTGTTTCTAAACCAGCTTTGGCCCTTGTGTTCCTGTAACGGGGTGGGGGTGGGGGAATGAGTTTGATTCCTGCCACAAAAGACATTTCTGTCAGTGGAACAAGACTCCTTGCCTCTTGCCTTCCTGCTGCAAGCCCAAAATACTGTCCCTAGGGGACAGGAGACTTCAAGGAGAGCATGAGTGAATTGGAAGCCCATACCAGGAGGCAGGAATAGGTAACATTTGTTTCCTCTCTTTCCATTAGCAGAAATTTACTGTGAAATCCCATAAACTTCCCTGTTAACAATGAATTGCAGCTTTTTTGGCGTTCTTGCAAAAAAAAAAAGTGCATGTGTGCTAAGTGCCATCAGGTTGCTTCTAACCCCGTGACCTAATGACCTCTAAAGCATCCTCTTTTTAACTGTCTTGCTCTGGTCTTGCAAACTGAGGGTTGTCCATCCCTTGTTGGGTCTTCCTCTTCTCCTGCTGCCTTCAACGTTCCCTAGCAGTGTTGTCTTTTCTAGTGACTCTTGTCTTCTCATAATGTGACCAAAGTATGACAGCCTCAGTTTAGTCATTTTAGCTTCTAGGGAGAGTTCAGGCTTGATTTGAGCTAGAACCCACTTAGTTGTCCTTTTCGGTGGTCCACGGTATCTGTAAAACTGTCGTGCAGCACCGCATTTCAAATGACTCCACTTTCTTCCTGTCAGCTTTCTTCGTTATCTAGCTTTCACACCCATGCATAGTGACGGGGAATACTTTAGTATGAACTATCTTGATCCTTACACTCACAAATCTTTTCCGTCCTTCATGGCTGCCCTTTCCAGTCTGTCTCCTGACTTCCTGGTTGCAGTCTCCCTTTTGGTTGCAAAGAAATACCCAACCTTCAGTACCAGTATATTCTTGAGGGTTACATTACATTTATTTGCATTGAGTTGACTGCATAAATTAAGTATGGTGAAGGGTAGATACTGATAGTGCAGTCTTAGGCAGAGCTACTGCAGGCTAAGCCCACTGAAATCAGTAAGCTTAGACGTCCCTGGCTAGGATTGCAGTGTTAATTGGCTGCAATTTTTTTTGCATTGTGAATAGTCTTAATTAGAAGAATGTTAGCTCTTGTAAGCCTTGAGAATGAGAAAGCTAAGCCTATGACTCAACACTCTAGTAAAAAAGGGCAACAAACAACATAGAACCATATCTTGTGGATGAACGCAGTTTGCCAGCAGCAGGGTTGTAATTTTATGAGAGGCAATGGCCCTGCTCCAGTGATAGTCATCCATGCAGTTTGCCAGCAGCAGGGTTGTAATTTTATGAGAGGCAATGGCCCTGCTCCAGTGATAGTCATCCATGCATGGAAATGCATTGCTGGGCATAAGGGTGCCTGCTGCATGGCTTGAGAAACTTTCTGCATGCATCAGCTGGCTTTCGCTTATGTAGTTCTCAGTATGTTCTTGCTCTGTGCTCTCTCAACCTTCAGTACCAGTATATTCTTGAGGGTTACATTACATTTATTTGCATTGAGTGAATAGTCTTAATTAGAAGAATGTTAGCTCTTGTAAGCCTTGAGAATGAGAAAGCTAAGCCTATGACTCAACACTCTAGTAAAAAAGGGCAACAAACAACATAGAACCATATCTTGTGGATGAATGCAGTTTGCCAGCAGCAGGGTTGTAATTTTATGAGAGGCAATGGCCCTGCTCCAGTGATAGTAATCCATGCATGGAAATGCATTGCTGGGCATAGGGTGCCTGCTGCATGGCTTGAGAAACTTTCTGCATGCATCAGCTGGCTTTCGCTTATGTAGTTCTCAGTATGTTCTTGCTCTGTGCTCTCTCCCATTTAGATGAGATCGGAGTTGTTCAGACTCTCTAATGGGAGCACTATGTATGACAGTATGGGCAATAGCTAGATGTAGCATTTCCCAGATCAGATATGTGGTCTCTGTGCTCATTCAGAGTGCAGTTAGTGCATGGGAATCAAATTGTCTTTTCCTTTTCTTTGCCCTCTGTGCTGCTGCCTATCAGGAAACTGATACTTTATCTGTGCTAGCTTTGAAAACTTCTAAAGGTCAGGGGTGGGTGGGTGTGCACATGCACTTTATTTTTTAAATAAATAAATGGCGGTATACGGAAGTTTGCTTGATTACAACAAATGCACTGAATGGCCAAGGAGTCTTTTCTACCCTTAATGTCGGTTTGTTTGTTGCATTCATAACAGGAAGAGGTGAGAATTCCTGCAGATGCAGAGGATAAATTCTTTGATTCAGATATACGAAAAGAATACCACAGGAGTTAGTCTAGTTGTACCTTTTGGGGATCATTATCAAAATTACTCTAGATATATGTTACTCTTTTTTTGTTGTTCCCTGATGGAGAGCTGACTGGTTGAACTGAAGTGGGATATCGATTTCAGAATCTGTAAATTTTGCTTCTTTTGCCTCTGGATGCTCACCTTTTGTGATGCTGTCTTTATAGGGTGTGGCGTCAACAGCCATTTCCTAATTTAGAGCGATCTAAACAGGCAATTTTAAGACACTGCGTGATGTTCCCAACTGTTTTGGTATGGTGACCCATAAGTCCAAATTTACTTGCTACAGTGACCTATCCAAGGATGGCCCAAGGTGTTTTGGCACCCTGGGCCAAGGAGTCTTTTCTACCCTTAATGTCGGTTTGTTTGTTGCATTCATAACAGGAAGAGGTGAGAATTCCTGCAGATGCAGAGGATAAATTCTTTGATTCAGATATACGAAAAGAATACCACAGGAGTTAGTCTAGTTGTACCTTTTGGGGATCATTATCAAAATTACTCTAGATATATGTTACTCTTTTTTTGTTGTTCCCTGATGGAGAGCTGACTGGTTGAACTGAAGTGGGATATCGATTTCAGAATCTGTACATTTTGCTTCTTTTGCCTCTATGGATGCTCACCTTTTGTGACGCTGTCTTTATAGGGTGTGGTGTCAACAGCCATTTCCTAATTTAGATCGATCTAAACAGGCAATTTTAAGACACTGCATGATGTTCCCAACTGTTTTGGTATGGTGACCCATAAGTCCAAATTTACTTGCTACAGTGACCTATCCAAGGATGGCCCCAAGGTGTTTTGGCACCCTGGGCAGACTATGACCTTGGCACCCATCTAAGCTCAGCATTCTGTGTCCTATAGTGCCCAGCTAGATGTTTTTGAGAAACTAACAAACATCGCACAAAGGGCGCAGCTCACCCCATTATGAACCCCAAACAGGTGTCATTCCGACATATGCAGCCTTTCACATATGGAGGTTACATTCCCGCCTTTGACCACACTGTCCTTCTCCGTTACCCCCTCTAATCCCCCCTAAGATTCTCACATATGGAGGTTACATTCCCGCCTTTGACCACACTGTCCTTCTCCGTTACCCCTTCTAATCCCCCCTAAGATTCTAAGAAACTTACTCTAGTAACCATCAGGACACGTTTACTTGATCAACATGTATATTCAGTGAAGAAAAAAGTACCAACTAATCTGTGACATGGGAGATACTGTTTCCAGGGTCAGATTCGGGTTTCCAAAATACAGAAGAGAGCACTGGAAAGGGCAGGGGGGTGGCCACGGCCATTAGTAAGGCCCGTGACACACTTTATTTATTTATTTACATTCCATTTGTATACCGCTCACCCCCTAAGGGCTCTGAGCGGTTTACATTACATTATGCAATACATCCTACCGAAGGGCTACACATACAATGAAGGGGGAGTGACTGACCTAACAGGCACCCTCTGGCGGAGACTTGTTGTTCTTAGTCTCTCTGCGGGAGGTATTTTCATCCGGTGGCGGCAACTTCCTGGCGCAGGTCTTCTGGCGTAGATCTTCCTTCAGTCGCTTGTGATTCCACGGGTGAAGGGCGCGTCAGCGCCGGCTCCTGCTGCGGCCTCTGTCCAATAGGCTCCGGCCTGCTGCGTTGCCCCGCCTCCATGCTCCGTCAGCCCAGCTCGCTCGACTCGCCGTCGCCGCCATGCTCTCCGCCGCTGCTCCACCGTTCTGCCACTACACCACCATGAAGGATGGGTCCCCCCCCCCGCTCTAATGCAGAAGCTTCACACAACCCATTTTTGGGTCCCAAGCCATAGGCTGGGAAACAGTGATGTAAGGGAAGATGGCAGCCCTAGAGGATGGCCTACAGTTGGAAGGACCCGTGGCTGATGCTTGTGCAGAATGATGTCAAGCAACCAGCATTGACCCATACATTAAATATTCCCTGCACAGCTCAGTGTAATAGTGCTGCCTGCATCTCATTATTCTCTGCTCTCAGAACTGGGCAGACAGTCCATTAACATCTACATTTTTCTGCAGCTGCCTAAAATCCTCTCCCAATCTCCCCCATAGAGCTCTATTGTAGGCAAAGCCTTTCTGCGGATTATAAGGCGGCGGGCCGTGGAATGCAACAGGCTGTTCAGCATTGACTGCCTCTGCCTGTGCTAATATTTGTGGAAATCTCTCATTGTTCCTTAGATGCTGTCTTCGCCTTCCAGTTGCGCAACCCTGTGCACAATGGGCATGCCCTGCTAATGCAGGATACTCATAAGCAGCTGCTGGGACGGGGCTACAGGAGGCCAGTTCTGCTCTTGCATCCACTGGGTGGTTGGACAAAGGACGATGATGTTCCTCTGATGTGGCGGATGAAGCAACATGCGGCTGTGTTGGAGGAAGGAATATTGAATCCAGAAACCACTGTGGTGGCCATATTTCCCTCTCCTATGATGTATGCTGGGCCAACCGAGGTAGGAAGTTCATTATGATTGCTGTGATTGTCTCTGATCTTGCTTTGTCTCATTGAATTTCTGTAGTAGGCAGTATGGCCATCTTGGGAGTAAACAGCTTCTCTGCAAGACTCATGGGCATCTAAAGCACCTACCATGAGCTAGTGACACTTAGTTTTAGAGGTCTTAAAAGAGAGGTATCTCAGATGCTTCTTGTTTGCAGTTCAAGAGACTTGTTGCACCATCTCTGTCTTTTGATTTACGGAGTGCTTTTATAGCTTTGGTATATTTCAATATGTGAAAGATTTGGGATCTTTTTAGTTTTTTTTTATTTCAGTGTGTCTTTTGGTGTTCTCGGATCTGAGACAAGTGTGAGCAAACAACTGAAAAGAAAACATGCTTTTGGCAGTCCCTCTGTCTGGGCATGTTGTTTCAAAGCATGACATAGTACCATAAAATGTCTCCCACCACACATACAGATTTTTGCTTGGAACATTGGTGGGAACTGGAAATAGAGATGTGTAGAATTATCTTCAGTCCAACTAGTTTTGTGGGAGGGATAAAAGTTTTGCTGAAGGTGACCCAAATCCTGATCCAAACATTTAGGAGAAAATCCATCTGTGGTCTTATCCATGGAGTTAAAGAAAAATGTTCAGTTTTACAGACTGTTTCTTGCTAGACATTTCTCAGAAAGATGCTGAAAAGAATTGACTTAAGGAATTGTTTTTTTTTAAGGTTCATTGTTGATAATTACATGCACACACAAAAAAGGAAAAATGTAGATCCAAAAAAAGGGGGGGGGAAGAGAACCAGAATAATCTACAATGAATCCTAAAAGGCCAGTGGGCAAATCTTTACTCATTTGCACATTGCAGAACATAAGAAACAGTATATAGTGGTCATTACATTTATCAGATTTTGAAAATCTGCTTGAAGGAGGAGGAGGAGATTGGATTTATGCCCCACCCTTCACTATCTGAAGGAGTTTTAGAGCAGTTTACAATCCCTTTCCCTTCCCCTCCCCACAATAGACACCCTGTGAGGTCGGTGGGGCTGAGAGAGCTCTCTCAAGAACTGCCCTTGAGAGAACAGCTCTATAAGAACTTATGACTGACCCGAGGTCACACCAGCCACTGCAAGTGGAACAGTGGGGAATCAAACCTGGTTCTCCCAGCTTGGAGTCTGCGCTCTTAACCACTACTCCAATAAGAATTGTTAGATTAAGGCCCTCACTACAATCAGCAGTCACATCAATTGCAATGGTGATTGGAGCCCTCTGGATTCCTCCAGGGTCTTGCACTGCGGGAGCCAAAGAGGATAGTGATGACCATGGATGCAAGCCTTTGAGGTTGGGGAGCCCGCTCCCAGCACAAGGTGACACAAGGCCTCTGGTCACAGAAGGAAGCAATCCTGAGCATAAATTTCCCGGAGCTCAGAGCCATCAAGCTAGGCCTTCTGGGATTCAGTGAATTTCTGTCAGGCTACCACATCTTGGTCCAGACGCACAGCACAATACAATGGTGAAAGCGTATGTGAACAGATAAGAGGGGACCAGATTCAGAACCTTGCATGAGGAAGTGAGCAGTCTGATCAGATGGGCAGAGGTCCATCTCCAGTCTCTGAAGGCAGTGCATGTGGTGGGCCAGAACAATGTTTCTAGAGGACTGGTTAAGCAGAAGGGCACTAGACCAGTTGGAATGGATGCTCTGCCCAGCAGTTTTCCATCACATTTGGGACAGGTTCAGGAGGGTGGAGATGGATCTGTTTGCCATGGAACAGAACCGCCAAGGGCAATGGTTCATGTCCCAGACAAGGAATTGGCACCAACGCCCTCAATTGTGACTGGCCTCAAGGTCTACTATATGCTTATCCTTCGATACAGCTGATGCACAGAGTAACTCTAAAGCTGGTAGAACAGAGGGCGGAAATTGTTCTAATCACATCTTTCTGGCCAAGAAGACCTTGGTTTCAGGATCTGAAATGGCTGCCAGTTACACAGCCCTGGTGTCTGCCCTGAGGGAGGATCTTCTTACTCAGGGGTCAGTGAGATATCCTCCTAAATCCAGCCCTCCTAAATCTCACAGCTTGGAGGTTGAGCAGAAACAACTAGGGAAGATGGGATGCTTGGGGTTCTAGAAATCATGCTGGCCTCCAGGAAAGAGTCTACCAATAGAGTGTTCAACACTACCTGGCAGGTTTTTCACATGTGGTGCTCAGAGCGTAGCATGGATCATCTAAAAGTATCAATCAGAGGGATTTTATCCTTTTTTCAAGACAAGTTAGAAAAGGGCCTTAGCATGAGTGCATTAATGAGGCGGGTGTTGGCTATTTCAGTGATGAGGGGTGCACAGAAGGGAAAATTTCTGGTTCAGCATCCCCATGTAAGATGTTTGCTTCAGGGGACCACACTGTTAAATCAGCCGCTTTGATACGGTCCTAAGGGTGTTGTGTAAAGAGCCATTTGAACTTATGGTGGCTTGTCCGCTGAAGGAGTTGACCTTTAAGACTCTATTTTTTTTAGTAGGGATTACATCAGCTAGGCATGTGTTGGAACTAAGGGCCCTATCTGTAGATAACGAACTTCGTATTTACCACAATGGCAAGGTGGTTCTATGCCCAGATCCAGCTTTCATCCCCAAGGTAAATTCTTTATTTCATTAGTCAGAGGCCATTGGTCAGAGGCCATTGTGTTGCCTTCCTTTTGCCCCAATCCTACACATGACAAGGAGAGGGAGTGGCACTGTCTAGACATTTGTAGAGCTCTTAACTTCTACCTCGATAGGACCCAACAGTGGTGTAAGTTAGATGCCTTATTTGTGTCATTTAGGAAACCTTCCATAGGACAATGGGTTTTGACCTCTACCCTGATTAGAGTATGCATTATAATGACCTACAAAGCTAAAGGGTTGAAGCCACCCCAGGGTATCATGGCACACTCTCTTAGGGGGGTGGGTGCTACTTCTACAGCGTACAGGGCCTTCCCATCCTTAGAGACAATTTGTGAGGCAGCCATCTGGAAGTCAGCACATTCTTTTACTAAGCACTACTGTATAGATAAGCTGGCCTCAGCTGAGGTGGCATTTGGGCGAAGATTACTGCAACAGGCCCTGTAATTCACAAAGCCAAGAGTCCCACCCCAGGGCACAGTGCTTTTTTATGTCCTGGAAGTAAAGGACTGCCCCACTCCCAGGACCACCAGAGAACGAAAGATTTGTCTTTACTTACCGTGAAGCTTCCTTGTTGGTGGTCTGGGAGTGGGGCAGTCCTACCCACCCAGATTTTGGGAGCATGGCTTCTGGATTACAGGGGGTGTTGCAGTAGGGCTAAACCAGTATAATATTCTTCTTTTCTTCCCAGGTGTGGACCCAGGGAAGTGAACAGTAGAGCTGATAAGATTAATTAGGAATGGGTTAGTCCTTCTTCCCTTTTTAAAACTAGTTTGGTACTGAGTTTGAATTCTGACAGTTTTTTGAGGTTTGTTTTCTCACCTGGTCGGAAGTAAATTTTATTTTCAGTTTGTATTGGGGAAAATATGGCTTGGAGACGACTGGGGAGATCCTAGGGGACAGGCTATCCCCACCTGGATCAATTGAGAGGCTGACCCTGCTAGTGGAGCCATATCCCGGAAGTAAAGGACTCCCCTACTCCCAGACCACCAAGAAGGAAGCTTCACAGTAAGTGAAGACAAATCTTCCGTTCTCTTGCATGCTAAGCTGGTAAAGGAAATCAAGACACCCATTTGTGTACAGGGATGGCAACTGCTGACTGAAGTAAACTAGCCAATGTTGTCAGGAAGACTGGTGCTGTGACCTGTGATGAGAAGCTCTGAGGCTGTACATGGGGCAGAATAAGATATCTAATGGGGAATCTTGTATCTCTCGAGTCCAGACAATTTCAGCTTTTACTTTAAAAAATTCTACCTTAAACAGCAGTGAAGAGCTTTATGGAAACTCACGCCTTAAGGATTTCAATAGTGCTTTACTGGGCTATTAGATACAGTCGTGTAACTGTGGAGAATGTTGTCTTTTGGATCTCCAGCATTCACCAACATTTTCCTTAATCTAATTGCATTTATATCTGCAAAACTGTAAAATTTACTGTTAACAAAACATTTAATATTTTCAGACTAATTTAAAATGTTGCATTTCTTACATGGAAAGAAGTCGAATGTTTAAAAACTCCAGTTTCCACATGAACTCTGGTACATGAATTCTCTCAAACCGCTCATCCAACATACCTGTTCTTGCATATGAAAAGAAGATGTGAGGGGCAGTGCGGGAGCGTAGCCTATAGAGTTCTGTTAGCAAACAAATCCCATTGGCAGCCTCTTTCCCCCTCTTTGTTGGTATGTTGGTATTCTCCACATCTGCTCACTGTATCGGGGCACACATTCTAAAGACTTATTGGTACTGAAGTTTTCGTAAGACTGGACGCTGATTTCCATTGGTTCCACCTTCCACTGCAAGCCCTTGCTTTCATAAGAGACGCCAATGTTGGATCAGGCCAAAGGCCCATCCAGTCCAACACTCTGTGTCACACAGTGGCCAGAAATACCAGTGCCATCAGGAGGTCCAGCAGTGGGGCCTGGACATTAGAAGCCCTCCCACTGTTGACCCCCCCCCCAAGCACCAAGAAGACAGAGCATCACTTGCCCCAGAGCCCCTAGCTATACCTTGTGGCTAATAGCCACTGATGGACCTCTGCTCCATATGCTTATCTAATTCCCTCTTGAAGCCGTCCATGCTTGTAGCCGCCACCACTTCCTGTGGCAGTGAATTCCATGTGTTAATCACTCTTTGGGTGAAGAAGTACTTCCTTTTATCCGTTCTAACCCGACCGCTCTGCAGTTTCATGGAGTGCCCATGAGTTCTTGTATTGTGAGAAAGGGAGAAAAGTACCTCTTTCTTTACCTGCTCTTTCCCATGCATAATCTTATAAACCTCGATCATGTCACCCCTCAGTCGTCTTTTCTCCAAGCTAAAGAGCCCTAAGCGCTTTAACCTTTCCTCATAGGGAAAGTG